GGGGGGGGGGCTGTTCACTTTTATTTGGCCAGGGATATGAAGCATGATCGCTTGGGATACCATCTATCATGCACAAGGCTAAGTTTGTTTGGAAGTATTAAGTTTTCCCTCTTTAATATGATAACTGAATGCTTGGAGAATGTAGATATGTGTGCCGATCAGTGAAGTAAGGTTGTTTTAGATCTTTATTAAAAATAATAACTGTTTACTGGCTGCCTTCACATTTTTTGTGCCATTGAATATCTGAGATATGACGGGCCTGGCCATATTTCATATGCATGCGCGCATGTGGCTGTATCTTTTGTCCACTTGATATTCCCCAGTGCCTAATGCCCATATAGATCACATTTTCCCTTTGCTGTGGATGGGCTAAGATTGCAAGTCAGGTCTCCTATGGCCACATAAGCAAAGTGTTGCAAAGAGCAATCTACTTATTTATGGTCAGCAGGAGACAGAAAGATGCAGTAACAGATGTCAGGCAGATGATGATGATAGTAGTCAATAATATCAGTATCAGTTTGGTATACCTGTATTTTTTTCCATTTCAAGAAAAGTAGCTATAGCCGTAAGTCCAGTAACATTAATATTCCAATTTAAAATGAATCTCACGGTTCACAATACAAACTATTGCAAATGTAACTTTTTCTCCATTAGATGCCTATTCCAAAGCTCCTTTTACATCTATTTTATTTTAATACAGGCATTTATATAGCACCCACAACTTATGCAGCACTTTGCACTTGCACATGAGGAGCTTACAATCTAAGGTCTCTATCTCACATGAATATACAGGGCAGATTTAGAGAGGAGCCAATTAACATTCCTGCATATCTTTGAATTTTGGGAGGAAATTGGAGTACCCGGAGGAAGCCCACACAAGCACAGGCAGCATATGTAAACTCTATGCAGGTAGTGTCCTGACCAGTATACGAACCCCATTGCTGCTAACCACTAAACTACTGTGTGGCACATCTTTTTCTGAATTTAAAAAAGGTTGAGTTGGAGAATTAAGTCACTTGTGAAGGTGCCGTGTGATATAGTGTTCCAGGATACACTACAGATCCTATTGGTATTTGTAGCCTGGATTTGAGAACTTTCACTTGTGGTTGTGATGCCACTGAAGCAAGCCCCTGTCTAGAATGCCCTGTACAAGCCACCTCAGTCTTGCACAGTGATGACTGCATTATCGCCATCATTTTTCTTTACAAGTACCACCGCTGACTTTGCCTTCGCTCCTAGTTACAACACCGATATCATTTAAAGGTCTTTGTTATTGTATATGTTGTAGGATTCCTATTAATTGTTTTTGCCTTGTTACTGTTGCTCAGCCTTTATTGGAGCACCCGGGATGAGTTTCTAATTTTGCTTGTCTCAGATCTTTTCTATAATTGAACGTTGTTGTCCCACCATAGTAACCAGAGTGCTCTTGTGCCCGCTCCAGCTGGACCCCCCAACCCACCTTTCCAGCCCTGCCTGTGTCTGTT